GCAAATGTGTAATGATATTGCTATAGAGTTAAATAATTTATAGTTTTTTATCCATTGAGATTATAACTAAACTCAAATAGGTCTTAAAATTTCCACTTACGTAAAAATTTGAAATAATAATGAAATTATGTCATAAAATATTTAAATGATTAAACTATGATTAGACGGCGTCTTAGATAGGCAACTTAGCTACACATATGCATGGTATCCATATTCCAGTATCCTAAGACAAAAATGGAATTGATACTATTAATAAATTAAAAATAAATGCGACAATTTTAGAAATATTTTGATCGTTTCTGTGATATAGCCATGAGAAGTTTTCCTAATCTTGAAAATTATTTTCCAATTTCTAATTAAAAAAAATTTTTATACATAGCTAACATAAGAAATTTTAATAGAAAATTCCCGAAGTTTTTCTACCAGCATCTAACAAAAAAATAAAATAAAATAAAATTTACCGGTAAATTACGATATGATAAAATACTTTTTTTTTAAAACTATTAAACTTTATTATTTATTTAAGTATAATAATATGATGACACAACATTTCCACACTGTCGTTTTCGTATGGAATGATTTATCATTGAATTTAACTAAAACACRTCCATTACGACATGCTCGACAACTATTGTACAGGAGTGTGATACCCACTTGACACATTATTTAAATTATAAATTGTTATCATTTTTTTTTTGCATTTTTCATTCAAATAACCAATAAATGACAAATAAATTAAAATTATGTTTTCTCTTTTAAATATATTTAATCAAACTAGATTTRTATATTTTTATTTTTATTATTTATTGATATTCTATAAAAAAAAATTGATGTTTAATTTAATAATATGGAAGATATACAGATGTATGAAATTTTTTAATCTCTTGTCATCCAGTAGCTGATTTAAAACTTAAATTATAAATAATATAGTTGATAACTAATTAGGTATGAATGTCCGGTTATAAAAAAAAAACAAAAAGTATATCTTTAAATTATAATTACAAATTTTGTTAATTTTTAGTTACTTCTGGTTGTTACATGTTATTGTTTGGTAGCATTAACTGGAATGTTTTAACATTTTTTTAAAGACACTAGCACCGACCAGTTTGATTTTGCTAAAATTTAACAAAAATTATTAATTATAAGATGACTTATTATTCATTTTTTAATACTGACGCCTTCGTTACTCTAGAACTTTTCACATTATTTTATGTTATGCAATTTTAAATATTTTTTCTTTATTGAAGTAAGAACTTATGAYAAGCTTTGTAATACATTTTAAAGCTATTACATGCACATATTATCATTATGCAATGATATATAAATCAAAAAACAAGTTTTAAAGTCAAAATAAATTAATACATTTTTCATTGGATAAGAATAAAAATTATTTAGACACGAACGCAATATTGTAATAATAATTATCAGGTTTAAAATAAAATCAACACACATTTCTTAATGCTATATTGTACTTGGACTTTATTTATAATCAAAGCTAGGATGCCATTTAGAAACAACTATTAATTACAATAACACTAAAATAATTAAGAACTAATATTGTAATATTCTGTTTACATATCTAACAAGAGTATATTTATGTTAACAATAGTTTTATTTGTTAATTGCATAACAATCAACGGCACTCAATATATTTTAGGAATAAAAAGTGCTCATGCTTACAATATAACKGGACAACTGGCACACAATATTAAATTTAATTAATTTTATACTTCCACGATAATAATATAAACGGGACTGGGAATGTAACTACATAATTTAAAAATATATTATCAAATAGAAACAAAATTTATTATAATTATGAGTTAAAATTATGTCAATAGAGTCCTATAAGTAAGAAATATTTATTTACAAAATAAAATTAGGAATCGTTTAGTGTTTATAAAGTAATACTATATAAATCTCTTTATTCAAGATAAATAAGTGCAGTCTTTAAAATATTAAATATTTTAATAAAGGTCTTTAGGTTATATCAAAATACATTGCAAAAATTACTACACTTTAAATAAACATTGGATAATTAAAATATATGAATTTCAAAATAAAAAAAATCTTTACTCTATATGTTATTTGTAAACAACGCTAGGTAATAGGTATTTATCTACTTTTTCAAATTTTTCACACAGTACAAAATGCAAAAAAATAAGTTCGCATATAATGCAACACAAACCAGCGATGTTGAATTGACTATTAGTTTTGTTAACAGTTAATTGGTACATTGTTTACTTATATTATATTCAATAATAATTCGAATAAAAAACAATTTTAAATCATAGTTATAAAATAATTTAAACCATACATGAATATAAACACGCAAATTTGTTAATTACTAATGACTTAGTTTAAGTAATTTAAATAATTATTTTGCAAAACACAAAATTGAATAAAAATAAAAATAGATTACATGTAGACAAATCAATAACTATAATGGTATAATATAAATTGGGTACTTATTTCAAAAGTTTAAATATTTTTAATTAAAAATAACATCAATAATAGGCTTTAAAAAAAGAGCAGTTTGTTCAATGTATTACACTGTACATCAATTATGATATAAAAACTAAAAACATAAAACTCGGTATACAACTAATATAAAAGGAAATGTAAAGTTTGAGTAAAAATTTTACACTATAATTATAGTTACTTTTAACCACCTGAGTTTGTTGTTTCTTCTTCATCTTCATCATCAAAACCGAAACAATTTTCAACACCGTCACCACATTCTTCTTTCACATCTAATAAAGACGCTGTTTTTAAAATGGTAAGGTCTTTTTGACTTGGAGCTGTTAAATAAATAATGTCATTTCAAAACTAAATTTAAAGAAAATTTAAATTTGTACTTACAAGAAGATTGGTCAACTTGTTGTATTGATACACTTGTGGATGTGTAATTGTCTATCTGATCTTGACCATCAAGTTGAATCACTTCAAGTACTACATATTGCTGTCCATCATCACCTTCTACTGCTACAACTCCAGTTTCACTTGTTGGAATACTTGTGTCCTCCTCAGATTCGTCCTCATTAGCTGAGTCTGTATACTGCAATAATTTATCATCAAGAATTAATTTTAAATATTATCCGCATATAACCACATATTAATTACTAAAATATATTTTATATGCTTTATTGTGCAACATTCAATTTGGTTCCCATCTGTCACACAACGTTCACATATTGTATGTATAAGCAGGCCTTGATTGAAGCAGCGAGCTAC